TATATTAATTATATATAGTATTTATATATATGCTGTAAATTATATTGAACAGTTGTATCAGCAGTGCACTCTAGGCAGTGTCTACAAGACTGAAATGTGGACTTAACCATGTATTTATGAATGCAGTTGGGAGACATAAAACAAATACATGGGTTGAATGACCTGTATATGGATGCATGAAAAAATAATTTTATACAAATAGCGGCAGAACATTTCTTCAGTTTATCTGTGTCTGTGAATGTACATTTTGGGTGAAAGAGAAAAGATTATGAAGCATATACTTTTATATTTCCTAAGGTTGGGTTGTTGGGGATCCAAATGATTTGGACAAGAGACTCAGAAGAAGCTTTGACTAATGCCAGGTATGATAAAAAAATTATGCGAAAGACGAACCAGTTTTTCCTGGATCTTCTAAACATGCTGATAGATATGACAACAAAAGACCTTAGCCCAGTCGAGCGAGTTAAATACGAGACATTAATCACTATCCATGTGCATCAGAGGGACATTTTTGATGATCTGGTAAGCAATGAAAAATTTATAATGAGTTATGAGGTGGTTTCCACGTAAAACAATGTGAAAGGACTACACCTATGAACTCCTGCTTCTTAAGCTAAACATTTATTTTCAGGACTGTAATGATTATGTGACCTGGAGTATTATATGTGACCTGATGTTGCTTCAATCTATGTCTTAGTTTCCCTTTATTTCAGTGATTTTTTTTTTCCACAAGCAATAGCAGAATTTTATAAAGCTTTGTATTGGCCCACCTAAGTTAGATGCCTCTGTTGCATGATCAGTTAGGGACTTCTTCCTCACATTGTATTGCAAGTAATTGTCCTTTGTCTGGACTACATTGTGAGTCTTGATGAGTAAATAGAATGCATGTAGAGTTATAGTACAGGAAAAAATGTAAAGTTGGTTGAAGCTGCTATCCCCTCTGTTCTAGTTTCAGTAGCATATCTAATTATTACTTGGGGATTTATTTATTCACTTCACACTTTCTCATGCTGCCACAGGATACTAAAATTAGGAAAATGAAAGCATTTACTGCTTAAACAATCAAACTTAAAAGCTAGCAAACCCTTTTACCTGTAGGAAGCTCTGGACCTGACTCTGAAATTAAGATGTCCGAGAAAAGAATTACTGAGTTTTAACCCATTGCTGATAGGCAGGCACCTATCTTTTCATTGCAGAACCAGTTGTTTCTAGTTATAATCATCTTATGTAAAGTATAATTTTTAGATACAACCTGCAGGGCATCTTTTTTAGTCTTGATTTCATATTCAGTTGGTCAACTTTGAATTACTCCTAGCTCTGTTGAATTTCTTAACTAATATCTGCACCATGACACTGTCTTGAAATACCTTTTTTCCAATTTCCATGTGGTTTCATACAATTCTCATGACTTTTTTTAAAATACAGGATCACATTATGTGCTTCCTAATCATATGTAAAAATAAAATGGTAGAGATGAGTAAAAGAAATGGCAGTTTTGATGTTAACTGAACTTAGTGACTTGTGTTTGAGGCTTATGGACTGTTGATTTGTATTTAGGGTTTTGACACACTCGTCTAAAGCCTGAAGTTCCTTTGCCTTAGTATGGGTTTCAGGGACAGCAATAATGCATTAGCAATTTTTGTGGTAAAAATCAAGAGAGGGTCTCCACTATTCTTGTGTTACTAGCTGTTCTTTATGCCTTTCATTGTGATTGCAGTGCTGCCTTTTCATTACTTAGATAAGATAATATAAATGCAAAAATAGATGTTAACCATGAATACTACAGCCTTTTTTTCCCTCTTTTCTTAGTGTTGCATGCATATCAAGAGCCCTACAGACTTCGAGTGGCTGAAACAGTGTAGATTTTATTTTAATGAAGACTCTGATAAAATGATGATTAAGATCACTGATGTGGGTTTCACATACCAGAATGAATTCTTGGGCTGTACTGACAGGCTTGTCATAACGCCTCTTACAGACAGGTGAAAAAGACTGATTTTTATTCCTTTATTCTTTGACACCAAACCTAGCTTTTTACAAGAGCAATTTAGTCATTCCTATTGGATGCAAAATAGATCTCTGCAGAGTTCATCCTTCACAGTCTTGTCAAAGTCAATAATTTTACATGGAATACATGAATATTTTTGTTTCTGTGCCTTACCATATGAATAACTTCCAGCTTATTTTCTGCCACATACTTGCGTGATTCCTGCATATATGATGTATGGGACTCTGGTTCTCATGTATGTGAGGCTAGTATACCTGAGGATCGGGTACATCCAACAGATACAATATGAATAGAGAGATACAGGACAAAAATAAGTGTTTACAGGCAAGCTAATGAAAACAGCTAAGGAAGAATAGACAGAAAAAACAATTTTATTCAGCTGCAATAGACTGGAGATCTTTGATCTAGAAGGATGTTGAAAGAGTTGCAGTCCTATTAAGAGAGGTCTACCTACCTAACTGGAATAATACAAAGAATGCTTTATAAGCTGTCATTGGCAAAATAAGGACATTGGGTGTGGGGTTTGGGGTTTTTAACTATTCCATCTAGCAAATTCTAGAGCTTCGCTTTAGATATAATTGTTAGCTGATGTTTTACTGCATTATGCGTAGAAGTTTCATTTATGAAAATGGGATGCACTAAATGATCAAATTTTAAAGGTGGATGAAAAAGGAAAGGTTAGCTGTCTTTCATTATTGTACTCCACAGTATAATGTAGTTCAGAACTACTTCAGTTAAAGTAATTCAGGAACTAAGCTAACCAAACTAGATTAGGTAGCATCTCTGTATCTGTTTTCCTCCCTTCTTGTGATCTTTCAGGTTGTTGATTATTGAGGATTATCTGTTCTTCCACTTCATGTATGAGGAGACGAACCTTAATATTACCTGTATCAGAGGCAGAGTGAAGGGTTTTGCTTCTTACTAATTTAAATTGTAATTAGAGGGATGTCATTTCAGCAGTTTCCTTGTCTCCTTAAATCAGACCTTCCTCATGTAACACACTTGAGTAGGTTCATCTGGCGTTATATAGAAAACTGTGCGCTGCAGCCCATTAAATGATGATAGCCTGTCGCCTTTTAGATGTTACATCACTTTGGCTCAAGCTTTAGGCATGAACATGGGTGGAGCACCTGTGGGACCTGCAGGAACTGGAAAAACTGAAACCATCAAAGACATGGGACGGTGCCTTGGAAAATACGTAGTGGTCTTCAACTGCTCAGACCAGATGGATTTCCGAGGACTTGGGAGGATCTTCAAAGGTAAGATGTGGACCAAAGGTAAGATATTGCCAAAAGGGTCAACTCTTTCCTGGGGTGCATTGAACGCAGTATAACTAACTGGTCAAAAGAAATGATTGTCCCACTATACTCGGTATTAGAGTAGCCTCACCTCAAGCACTGTGTGCAGTTTGGGCATCAACAATGTAAGAAGCATATAAAAATATTAGAATGTGTCCAAAGAGAGCAACAAAGATGGTGAAAGAACTAGAGGGCATGACTTATGAGGAATGGCTGAGTATACTAGGTTTGTTCAGCTTAGAGAAAAGGAGACTGAGGGGTTGCCTCATTGCTGTCTACAACTTTCTCATGATGGGGAGCAGAGAGGGAGGTGCTGATCTCTCTGATGTCTGGTGATAGGACATGGGGGAATGGCTTAAAGCTGCGTCAGGTGAAGTTCAGATTGGATATCAGGAAAATGTTCTTCACTGAGAGCATGTTCGAGCACTGGAACAAGCTCCACAAGGAAGTAGTCAGGACCCCAAGCCTGTCTGTGTTCAAGTAGTGTTTGGACAACACTTAGATATATGATTTAACTTTTAGGTAGCCCTGTGTGGAGTCAGGAGTTGGACTTGATCATCCTCATGGTCCTTTACAGCTCAGGATATTCTGTGATTTTATGATTCTATGGACTATGTAAAAGTTACAAATACTAAGAGAACATCTTTATAAAGCAAGATCAACACATAATCAGCAGGTGGTCTTCAACCTTTTAATAAATGCAAGTAATTAATATCTTGTTATGAATGTGCAACACTGTCTCCAAGAAATAGAAATATCTGAAAGCATAAGACAGTTTCTGAAAAGATACATAAAGACACTTAAAAGACACTGCCAGTCCAAAACCAAAAAGCTGTGAAATTTATTGCTGGAATATGTTGGATTCTGATTTCAGTATTTGTTCTTCAAATCTCAAAGTTCTTTTTTTTCCCTGAGGTAGATTAACCTGATTTTTGGCTTGTGAATTACACCAAAAAAGGGTTAACAGCATAATAGTCAGATGCTTAGTTGCTTTTCTCTTTGAAGGTCTTGCTCAGTCTGGCTCCTGGGGTTGCTTTGATGAATTCAATCGTATTGATTTACCAGTACTATCAGTAGCTGCACAGCAAATTGCAATTGTGTTGACATGTAAGAAGGAACGTAAAAAAAGCTTTATTTTTACTGATGGAGATAATGTGGAAATGAACCCAGAATTTGGCATCTTTCTTACTATGGTAGGTATTCAGTAGGTTTCTAATATGCCACTGATGATTGTACAATAATTGCTTCTAGCCTGGTATGTTAAATGTACTTGCTAACTCTTATGTCACTCAGCTCTTAGACCTCACTGACAGTTTGAGAACATTGAGCATTACTACAAAGACAGTTTACAGGGTCTTGTTTCAATGACATCAAGCACATACAATTAACAAATGCAGCCAGCACTGTAAATGTAAGTTGTTATCTCAATGTCAGATTACTTCTGCATGCTACATTCTGGTTCCCAAAGTATGCTTTTTGCTACAAGTACAGAAAAATGGCCATAGAGATATAGGTAGAAGTAACAGGTAAAAAGAGGACCTGTAAGACAAATACAGATTTGAAGTGTTGAGGTGAAATATTTTTCATACCTCGTGGATGTAAGAGAGCCTAAAATGCTGTGAAAATATGGTGGTAAATCTGCACGGCAATTCATTTTTACATGTTATTTAAAGCCAAAAAGCTATTTTTGTCTAACCAGACTACATGTTCCTTTGATTCTTCTGTTTGTGCAAGGTGCAGTCAACTTCAAAACCTATTCTTCTCTCCAGAATCCAGGATATGCTGGACGGCAGGAACTTCCTGAAAACTTGAAGATCAACTTCCGTTCGGTGGCTATGATGGTTCCTGATCGTCAAATCATAATTCGTGTCAAATTGGCTAGTTGCGGTTTCATTGCTAATGTTGTATTGGCAAGGAAATTCTTTACACTGTACAAGCTGTGTGAAGAACAACTGTCAAAGCAGGTGATTATTTTCATATAAGGAAAAATTATCTTAGGGAAAAACTATATATGATGTCAGAAGTTATTAGTATCTACGTGAAGAAAATGGAAAAGTTCATGTTCACTAAGTAAGCTAAATGACGCTTGCAGTTTAGTAGTGCAACCCTCTGCTGTCCTGGAGGATTAACTCTGCTACAATTTATCTGTCCAAGAATGGGACTGTCATTCAGAACACTGCTTATTATTAAGATTTAACTTTAATGAATGGTGATGATTAAAGCAAATACAGGACTTATAATTAGTTGGTCTTATAGAGTGGATTGAGAGGCATTTGGTTTGTGCTGCCTGTGCTTGTTTAGAAGTTTCTCAAATAAAGTCAGTTTCCAAGGTCCACAGAGAATTCGAAATAATACTGCTAGTTTATTTCTTAATAGTCCTTGGGAATCTTATCTTGGTTCAAAGACTTGTGATTACATTTCTCTTTTCTGTCACACCTTACAGTTTAGTAGATGGTAGCAGAGGTGGGGAATGAAGTTGCCCATAGTCATGCAGCCAAAGACTAGCTGTTGGATGTTAGGAAGCTTTTGTGCCACATGTACCACTTCTTATACATATCCATATCTTAAATGATAAAAATAAGAATTTTTTCATACCTGTTAACTTGGAGAAAGTTTTCCCAAACTTTTCATATCTTCTAGGTGCATTATGATTTTGGCTTGCGGAATATATTGTCAGTGCTACGTACATTAGGAGCAGCAAAAAGAGCAAATCCCACAGATACTGAATCTACTATTGTCATGCGTGTGCTGAGAGACATGAACCTGTCTAAACTGGTAAGTTCTGAGGGCCTGGTAAATTAATTAAACTGCACTTTGGAGCTACGTAAAATTTTTTTAAATACAATTTAAATCTCTTAAGGGGATCACTAGAAGATTGTATGTGACCTTTACACTGAAGCTAGCTTGGAAATATACATTCTCTGGATGGTCTTGCATACTGGTTTTGGCTGGGATACAGTTAATTTTCTTTGTAGTACCTTGTGTAGGGCTGGGGAGGGAGTGAGCAAGGGGCTGTGTGGTGCTTGGCTGCCTACCTGGGTTAAACCACAACGCCTTGAATTGTTCAGAATTTTTTTTTACATATTTCCCCTGCTGCCTATAGAAATAAATGACCAAATAGATGTCTATGTAGTAACCGCTTCAGAACCTTTGACCTAAAGTATTTAGTCACTTTTTTGAAATAATCTGTTATTTGTAGTAATGAGTACCATCTCATCTGTCTTAAATAGCTAAAAAAACCTCTTCTCTTGCTGTGTTACTTCATGTCCTTTGTTATCTCTTTTTACACCTTAGACAACTAATTTACTATTTGTATAAATGTTATTGCTAAAATCTGCTTTCATAAATTTAGTCTGTATGTTAGTGGTTTATTTTCAGTAACTTTTGATTATTGGAGCATCACATGATCTCCTTCTGTGTCCTGCTACAATGTTTAGCACCTAGAGGGTTACCATAGATGGTAATATTTCTTTAGCTCTACAAGAGTTAGGGATTGTTTTTCAAGATGCTAGAATAAATGAAATAGGTTTCAATCTGTGGGTTTTTTCCCCCCCCTGATTTTCACTAGATTGATGAAGATGAACCCTTATTCCTGAGTCTAATTGAAGATCTGTTTCCAGATATCCATCTTGATAAAGTAGGCTATCCTGAACTGGAAGCTGCCATTGACAAACGGGTAATGTTTCTCTTGATCTGTGCTGCTGTGGCATTAACTATCATAATGTGACATCTAAGAAAATTATTGATGTTGAATATACCCAACTGGTAATAATATGTTTTACTATTTAGAGGAGGAGTAAGCTTTTCCATAGATCTTTACCATTGGCATATTATAATTAACTTTATTCTTAAGGATGTCACTGAATTGTGATTGTGGGGTCCTGTGGTTTCCTTGTGAGTTATTTGTGGTGACCAGTTTGAAAAATGCATGTATATATGCTTACTTTATGTGACCCAGGATTTAATATTTGTATGAAGGCTGACAACTGGAGCTTAAGAAAAGATTTACCTGAAATGACATTTCCTCTATTTCATCTTCCGTTAGATCATTTGGAACATTTCAATAGGGCCAACTTAAGAACATCAGTGGGATATAGAAGGTCAATGAATTATGTACACTTAAATGATCACCTCTATTAACCTTTCCTCCAGAATTTCAATAATTCCTCAGATAATTATCTAATAGTTAAACAGAGAAATAAAAAACTCAAAAAACCCATCAAAAAAACCCAACACGAAAAAATTGAAAATCAGAAGTGCATTTCTGAAGAATTTGAGTATATGACTTTTCATTTACTTGTATTTAATATGATTAGATACAAGTAGAGGTCTGCTGGCTTTCCTAACAAGGAAGAGTTCAATCATCAGCTAAAGTTTATAAAACTGTTTTGCTTTCTGTAGTTTATACAGCTGGCTTTAAAAAAGGACTCGCAAATTAAGCTTTTATTAGGAGAAACTATAAAGAACTTAATCTTATGCTTTAACTTGTCATTTCCTAATAAATTAAAAAGAATTCTTAATAACATGATCTTCGTAGCTCTCCTGTTGGTGATCTGTGAAGACAGACATAGCAAGTGTCAACCCTTTTAGCATTAAACCATTATCACTTGCTTGTAAGTACGGTGTAATGTCAGCACATACTGAATCAGTGTTGGAAACGTGAAGAGCTTTAGGCAGTGTGATTATCTTATGTAAACCAAAATTTATCAAAAGTTCAGATCTGGTGATCTCATGGTACCTTTTCAGTGCTATGACAGTGTTTAGAAATTTTGTTAGCCTATTTTGGCATATTTTTCTCATATTGCTAAAACTTAAAATCTGGAGAAACCAGAAATGGTAGGCTGTCTTGTTTGTCTTGGAAGTGAATCAAGGTTTTATTGAATGGAGCTCTTTGCTGTGTTTTCAGAGCTATGTACAATGAAATCAGCTAGGTTAGGACAGAATCAAGTTCAAGAGGACTATTTTTATCAGGGAAGGGAGGCAGGAATCGTTGGGAAAATATCACAATGAAGAAATAGTCATTACTTGAAGTGTTTTTCTATGTTTATATGTTGTGGCGGGTTGACCCGAGCTGGTAGCTAAGCCAACACCCAGTCACTTGCGCACTTTCCCCCAGCGGGTTGAGGGAGAGATGCAGAAGGGGAAAAGAGAGGAAAAAAAGCTCTTGGGTCTAGATTGAGACCGTTTAATAAATGAAGAAAAAAAAGAAAAAGAAACAAGTGATACAAAGCGATCATTCACCACCAGCAGACTGATGCCAAGCCAGTCTCTGAGCAATGGCTACTACAGAGAAACTTTTCCCCAGTTTTATTGCTGATCATCACATTATATGGTATGGAATATTCCTTTGGTCACGCAGAGTCAGCTGTCCCAGCTGTGTTCTCTCCCAACCTCTTGTCCACCCCCAGCCCACTCACTGACAGGGCAGTGTGAGAAACAGTTCAGCAATAGCCAAAACACTGGTGTGTTATCAACACTGTTTGATCACAAATCTAAAACATGGCACCATATGGGCTACTATGAAGAAAATTAACTCCATCCAGTACATACGTACAACTGTTAATAGCATAGCTTTTGAGAACACGTCAAGTCTGCTTGTGAACATACTTCTTTTTCAATAAGGGGAGTATCTAGTCTACAAGATTATTACAGAATCCGTGAGCGTTAGAAATTGTTAAGAAAAGATGTCTCCACTGATGGCATTGGATTAGGGTGAAGGAATAGCTAACATGGCCATCTTGTTTTATGTGAAGAAAGCAATCAGTTCAGATATGTTCTGTCGGTGCATCATTAGATTTTGGATTTACTACTGTATATATGTGGACTCTGGAAACAAGTCAGAAGGCTATATTCTATACTGGAAAGAAAGGCAGCTTGACCAGTTTAGTGTCAACTGTGAGAGCTCATAAGATGTGAATGACAACAGAATTTTATCATGTATCCATGAAAATGGTGCATCTGATGTCTTCTATGTGCTTTGCAAACTCCATTGCTTCAACAGTGGTGTTCTTCATGGTGATGAGGTATTGGTGGCAGTGTATACTTCGTGTTGCTGTTGATGAATACATCTTGTGCCACCTTCTGTTCTTGGCTTCCTTGTGGAGCGAGACAACTAAGTTGAACTGACGTGAGCTTCGATATGCGAGTAATATAGCAAGTGGTAGTGCCAATTCCGTGGTTCTAACTGACTATGTGACAGTAATTGTAAAAGCTGAGTTTTATCTTTTCAGTAAAAAGTTAGTCCTCTTTTTACTGATAATATTTTCTGTGATTTTTTTGTGAAACATAATTTAAAAACAGAAATTATACTTGAATTAAAATATAATTGTTATTTTGAAAGCTTCACTTTTATAACATGATCTTGAGTTTTTAGAATTTTTTTTGACTGTCAGAAACATATACTGTGCTATGAATCCTTAAGAAATAGTTCTAGCTTTTCTCTGCTGGCTAAAAGATTTCTTGTTCACTTCCAGCTGAGTCACCTTCACAAGCAACAGCAACACCATTATAGTGAGATAACTTCTTTAAGTTTGGAACTAGTAAAAAGTAGTAAACAATCATATGATATTTGATTCTAAAACATCATGTCTTTTCTTAGAAGGATAATATTAAGAAGTTACTCAAAGGTCTGTCTGTACACCAAGAAATATTTAACAAAATGTTTTACAGAAAAACATTTAGAAACACAAGTCATCATCATCATAAAAAGGCAGCTGTTCTGAGAGGCAACTGAAAATGCTGTGTGACTATGAAAGACATTGCTAGCAACAGTGTTTCTAAAATTTTTGGCTTTTCCTTAAAATGATGTTTTAACCCTAAGAAGAGCTAAAAAAAAAAAGGTTTATCTCCTTTTATTTTTCTGAATACATATTTGAATACCAAATATCCCTTCTTTTTCCTCTTTTTAATGGACAAAAATCCTTTACAGAGAGCGTAGTCTTCTGCTGAAGAGAGAGGTTTTGGTTTTTTTTAAAAAAAGCATCAAAGTATCTTGTGCACTAAAATCATAGTAAATTGGTTTTCTGTCACTATCTATAGGTGGAGGAAGCTGGACTTGTGTGTCATCCTCCTTGGAAACTGAAAGTTATCCAACTTTTTGAAACCCAACAAGTAAGGCATGGATTGATGACACTAGGACCTAGTGGTGCAGGAAAAACTGTTTGCATCCACACTCTGATGAAAGCCATGACAGGTATATCAGTATTTATATTGTAAACTGTTAATAAACTGTTATATTGTAAACTTTAAACCATATTGTTTCTTCATAGAAAGCCTCAATTACTTCACTGTGAGAATAAATTACTGGAAGAATCAGTTTGTATGTTGTGATACTAATTATTGTGGTAGAGTCTTTCAAAAGCTTAAAAATGTCTGACATTCAAAGTCATATAATATAACACTATCCTATTTTCTGTATGATGATACCTATATAGAAGTTCTTATTCTAGAAACATTGAGAAAGATGAGTACTGTCTGGGGAGACAGCTCGGACAAGTGATTAAAGCATCTCCCAGGTTTGGCTAAGGCAATGCTGAAACCTTCCCCTAATCATAAATATTTAGTCTTTTTTGAGCACAATTCACAAGTCAGGTTCTTTATCTGCAGTATAAAATAACTGCTTCTATCATTTGTTGCTGCTAGGAGATTGTTCCTGGTTTAGCCAGTGACAAAGTCTTCAAGGATACTTGTTTTGTGTCCTGACTGGATGCTTAACAAGTGTGGTTTTGTCCTCTGCATTTCTAAATATTAGTGGAAGAACCTCTATTTGATCTTATCAAACTAGAAGCTTATAGCTGGGGGAGAAAAAACATGTCTTTTGAGGTAAGCTTGTGTTACCCCATTTCACAGGTTTCAGTAGGCTGCTTCTATAATTTTCCAGAAGATAGTTTCTGTAAAAAATGGTTTAGCCCGTCTCTCAACCATGCAGTAGCTTAGTGTGCTTAAGAAACACTGTAAGCTATACATTGCAGTGTAAATGACTGTTCCATTTAGGAAAAAAAGCAGAAAGAACAGATAGTTGCATTATACTATTTTCCTATATTTCTGTAGCACTGAGATGTGAACTACTACCAAGATAAAGCCACCACAATACTTTTTTCAAGCTGATCTTCTGGCATAACCTCATGAAATGTAAAACTACGTGATTTGCCAGGCTTCTATCTTACATGTTAGTGAACTCTGATTATAATTAAGATTCGAAGATAAGCCATTTTTTTTTAGCTCTTTCTTTCAACATCTTATTACTGGCTCCTGATTAAGTTTAAATATCTAAAGATGACTGGCATAGGAGTCCTCAAGCTGTTGTTAATGAGGAAAATATAAAGGTTACATGATCATGGTGTGGCTAGATAGGATTTAGCTGCCTAGGAGACTTTGCAGGGATCTGCCAATATCATATACTTTGCCTGTTCCAAGGGGTATGCAAGTGCACAACCGGCAAAACCAAAAAACAATCATGTGGAGCATCTTTCTGGTATTTAGTCATTGGGTTTTAAAAAAGTACATCTGAACCAAAGGCTTTAAAGCTCTATTGTTTGATAAACCTTCAAAATATTAAACTAAACCCTGAATGAATTTCATCTCACTGCTTTTCTGTTCCTGATGAATCTATGAAATGTGAATTGTACTTTCAGAAGTTTCAGAACTTCGTTTTACTTCAAATTTTGATGGTTCCAATTAACAAATATTGATGTGTAGCGAGAGATAATTTTTCCAAGTAAATACGCAACTTCTTGTGATGGTGAATGCGTATTAAACCATACATTTGGGTGTAATGATTTTGAATTTGTCCAAATTCTCTGACTGTTGAAAACAAATACCAAAACTAACTGATGATCTTCCTTCATAGATTGTGGACAGCCACATCGTGAAATGAGAATGAATCCTAAAGCTATAACTGCTCCGCAAATGTTTGGTCGTCTCGATGTGGCAACAAATGATTGGACAGATGGAATATTTTCAACACTCTGGAGAAAAACTTTAAGAGCCAAGAAAGGTATGATGAAAAACAATTTCCTCCAAAACAGAACAAGTATGTCTCTAAAGCATATTAGCAGACTTCTTGGGTTTTTTTACTTACGTGGAAGCATTGGAATATTGCTGCAAGAACTTCAGTCTATTGTATAGTCTCTGTTCTAAACGCTTTGTGTTCAAACTGTGTAGTATAGCAGATATTCTTTCACTGAATTTGCTGATTCCTCTCTCAAATGATAGGCCCTTGTATGGAAGAAAAGTGGAAGGTAAGAGTCAGTTCCCCCAACACTGGTATACAATAAAAAATTTTGGTGCTGTCAGAATTTCTACCTGGTCTCCAGCTGCCATACTAGAAAGGTAGGAATCTCCTTTGTGTCATACCTGCTAGCCCTGCACATACCATAGTCCATCTAGTGCCATCAAATGGCACTAGCTAATTCTATTTAGGCAACCACTTTCTGCCTAAAATAATGCTGGTATACATCCTTAGACTGCTATATTAACTAAAGGAGAGGCCTTGATGTTTTGATGCTAGATGGATTCTTCCTTGTTTTGTCTTAATATTAGTATGTGACCTTATCATTAGGCCTTACGGACTAAAGGAAGAAAAAGAGAAAATCCTAACATTTGTTGCACTGTCAATTTTCATGCAAAAATTCTTAGTCTTTAAGGATACAAATAGAAAATACTTTTGGATTTAATTTTGTTGGTTTTGTTTCAGAAATGTAGCGCCCTTGAGAATGTAGCATAGCATTAACTGTTGATTTTTCTATTTTTTCCCTCAACATGAAATATAAATTAGCACACTCACATGACTTCCTCAGGTTCACTGTTGCAACACTTCTGTAATGTCTTTTTATGAAGTGAACGCCAGACCGTCTCATGCCTGAGATGCCTGCACTGTAGCTATGAAAAGCCTCTAAATATAAAACTATTTGCCTCAGAGGTGAGAAAGCTTCTCATCTGGAACCTTCTTGGTTCCTACCGAGCAACGCACCAAGCCAGCTGGGCCTAGATAGTAAGGACTCGCTCTGAAGGCAGATGAGAGTGGGACCATCTCTGACTGGAAGGCCATCTAGCAATGCACAGCAGGGCTGGCTGCTCCCTAAGGGACTGAGAGCCAGAAGCCAAGGGGGGATCCATTTCCAGCCAGGGCCTCTTGCTCAGTACCCCAGTGAGGTGAGCAGGACAGACCCAGACCCTCCTAGGAAACAGAGGCAGGCTTTAAGATACATTTCTGTTACTAAATGGAAAGAGCTGGAAAAACTTCAAAGGGAGCTGGATCAAGTTTACAAGCAGAACAAACAACAAGAACGTTCCCGTAATGAACCTCTTTTACTTATGCAAGTGAGCATGCTATGTGAGAGAGTGATTTTTCAAGCGTTTCTTTCATTTAATCTCACTACTTTTACACAAACTCTTTGGAAATGAATGGTGGTTGTAAATAGATCTATAGTTTCTGTCTTCTTTATGTTGTTTTATGTAAGTTTAAATAAACCTAATTTATTACTGTGTTGAAGACTGGGTCCATAAAACTGTTTCAGACTATTACAAACATGACTTAGGCTGATGACACTTCATATACCGAGTAATGGATAATTATTATGAATAGGTGATGAAGTACTTAATTGAAATTGAGTGATGGAAATGGTAATTGTATTAAAAGCTGAGATTCTAGGTGTGTGCATGAATTCAGAATTAGCTCAAAATTTTTGTGCAGAGAGAAGAAACTGCTCCTTGAACAAAACTAGAACTTCCTCCATAGGCATTTTTATCTGTTATTGTGGATTTTAGGTGACCACATCTGGATAGTTCTTGATGGTCCAGTTGATGCTATTTGGATTGAGAACCTTAATTCTGTCCTGGATGACAACAGAACTCTAACGCTAGCAAATGGAGATCGGATACCTATGGCACCGAATTGCAAAATAGTCTTTGAACCTCATAGTATTGATAATGCTTCTCCAGCAACAGTTTCAAGAAATGGGATGGTATTCATGAGCTCATCAGTTCTCAGCTGGAGCCCTATCCTTGAGGTACAATAGCTAAGTGACTGTTTATGTATTGAAAGTTTTATTGGTTACTTATTCAACACTTCACTGTTGTTACTTTAGGACATAATTTTGTGACTATTGCTATGAAATAGCTTTTACAGTGTATAAACTTACAGGTCAGTATTTAATATAGCAATGTTTCTGGTAGTTTAGACAAGAGTGAATAATGTATTTTTTTCAGGAACATAGTCAACATATTACACTTTTAAAAACATGGATATTTCACTTTGGCACAAATTTGTAATTCAAGGTATTTTATACAATTGAAGAACAACTCAGTTGTCAAAATACCAACTGCCTGGCAGCCACTAGTACAGCTTCAGACCAAGGAAGAAGAAAGAGTAAACAGGCAGATTCAGGAATCTAGAAATCCTCAAGAAAATATAAGTTCTCTTGATATTTCTTAAAATTAATTGCAGTTGGGATCTAGAACCAGAAATAAAGTCAATGCAGCATCAAAGTGTGTAATTTTTAAATTGATATTCTTACCTGGTTAAGTTGTCTCTTAATGTTTCTAGAAGCAAAATGTCTGAAGAATCAAGCAGTAGTTATTCTCTGGCATGGAATAAATAATTTAGAAAAACAGAACGTGCTATAGGTTTGTTTTGGAGGGAAGAATAGCATATACCATATTCAAATTTCAAAGTGATTTATAAAGTGAGCTTTTTCTTGTATATGTCATATTCCATCTTCCAAACACCGGAAAAAAAAAAAAATCCTTATCTTGACTGAATGCTGGTAATAATATAGTGAATGACACATTTAGAGATTTGAGCAGACTATGTTTATTTTAATGTAGCAAATATCGTGGTAAAGATGAAATATAAGAGTTCCCAAGAATCTACCTAATGTTCTGTAATAATATCTTTCAATAAAACTTTCAGCATTTAATTCCAGTTTTCTTCCCTTTTAAGAAAACAATGGAGACTGGCAGTAAAATAAAAGTTGGTTTCTGATTATTATTTTTTATTCTTAAGCCCTATATTGCTTTAGAAGTTTATCAGTGAAGTAAGATTCCTCAGGATTAACACTTTCTAAAAATTTAAATTGAAAGAAATATTAATATATTTTCTCTTCCTTGCCTAGTCAGTCTTATTGAGAATATTTTGTTGATGTTATTTTTCTTTGATGAAACATGGACTGTCTCATGAGTATCAAAAATGAAAACTTTCATCCTTGTGGCTAAGACACTGATTCTTGTGATCATAGATAGAATTACTTTATTACCTTCTACTGACACCCAAGTTAATATACCTTTCTTCTGTATAACTCCAAATTAACTTTTCTCTATATTGGCTGTAAACTTTAATTTTAAGCTAGGAATAATTTAGTCTTCCTGTTTATGAAATTAGAACCAGGCCTTTGTAGCATATTTACACCCCTGTCTGCAGACTCAGAAGAACAAAACTTTACAGGTTACTAAGAGCTAACAGACTGAATTTTACTGTCCTCCTTTCTAGAAAGTATCACATTAACAAGTTTTTTTAAATAATTTTTAAAATGAATGTTTCACAGTCTCATGCACTCATTTCATTTTCCAAATCAAGTAGAATGCCCGTGGAAAATACAACTAATGCTCATGTAGACAGCATTACTTAACTAGCCAGATGAAACTACAGTTGGCTTCCTATTAACTTTCAGATGTTAGTAGTTGAGGAGGCCTTTTGTGATGATTACTCTGTATTATTCTCAGATTTCTTATGTTTTAACCCATAAAGCTTCTCATGCTTCTAAGTCTTACATAACTTGCTTCTTTATAATGAGACTCCTTGTCCATAAATCCCTGATTTGTCTGGTAATGGAGAAGAAGTTGACATGGCATGGGGCACGGTCTGTGGCACAGCCTAGAACAACTGTCCTTAGCATATTAGAGGTTTCGGCACAGACGGAAACCAAGAGCGGGACAGTACGCTGCTGTTCAAGCCCTGAGTAGCAGGCAGTGCCTGGGGCCAATTCCTGGGGCTGGAGACAGTGGAGCCCTCCCAGGGGAAGTGTGCCCTGGGCGTGGAGTTACCAGGTGAAGGAGCTGTGGGAAGGGGTGAGAAGACTTGTGTGCCTTCAGGGAAGATAAACAGATCAGCAGGATTTTTGCAGGGACAGTGCAGACTCGAAATCCCTAGCCCTGGGACGGAAAGGAGAGTGAGAGAGAGACTGCATTCAAAGCTTTGGTGAACAGAAACTCCAGAGACGAGGAAGGCTGTAAACTTGTGATTTCTGGCAACAGAAGCGATGTTTCTTTTCCACCTACAGATCTGAAACGGCAGGTCAGGTATAATGCCCTGAGAATAGGTGAGGAGCAACAAGATCCACTAGGGGAGGCATCAGAACCCGGCTTAGCCGTAACCAGTTGAGAGGAAAAGGGGTGTGATTGTCATCAGAAACTGCCTCCTGTGACGGAGGCACCCATGTGCTGTGACTTGTTGCCTATGGAGGTTTGCTGCTTGTGAGGGACTAAGGGTTGCTGCAGAGAGTTATTACCATATTGAGCTCTGCAGCACCTCTCCTATGAGGCCAGGCTGAGGGAGTTGGGGTTGTTCAGCCTGGAGAAGAGAAGGCTGTGGGGAGACCTTATTGCGGCCTTCCAGTACTTAAAGGGGGCCTACAGGAAGGATGGGAACAATCTTTTTAGCAAGGCCTGTTGTGACAGGACAAGGAATAATGGATTTAAACTAAAGAAGAATAGATTTAGACTAGACATAAGAAAGAAATTTTTTACAATGAGGGTAGTGAAGCACTGGAACACGTTGCCCAGAGAGGCAGTGGAGGCCTCATCCCTGGCAACATTCAAGGTCAGGTTGGACGGGGCTGTGAGCAACCTGATGTAGTTAAAGCTGTCCCTGCTCACTGCAGGGGGGTTGGGCTAGATGGCCTCTAAAGGTCCCTTCCAACGCAAAGCATTCTATGATTCTATGATTTCTCTAGTAGTGCCTAGAGCCTTTCCTTTTTAGAATGAAATTAAATCATATGGAGCTGGCTGTTCAATCACAGCTGCTTAGCAATGCTCGAGAATCATCACTAATTCACTTGATAGGTTTCTTTGCCAAGTCCAAAATATTCGCATACTTATTAGAAAAAAAAGTGTTTAATAAGTTTCCTAAAAATTTGGCTGTTATTGACGTTTTACCAATGCAAATACATGCAGTCAACATAAGTGCCTTATGTATATTACTGCAAGGCTTTAATCTTTTTTTTTTTTAAAAAATAACCCAACAAACCCTAATATGGATACTTGGGACAGTGTAAGTGTAAATTATGCATATTAAGGGTTGGACTGGATGATCTTAAAGGTCTTTTCCAACCTAAACGATTCTGTGATTCTGTGATATAGGACAGTGGCTCCCAAGAGATTCCACTTGTGTGGTTCCTCTCTGTACTTAACAGCACTGCATAGGGCCTACTGATACTAGGTTCTCACAGCTCTGCCTCCTTGCATTGGTTAGTTTGCAGACAACTTCTTGAAAGTTTCAGTTTAAATTGAGCTATAGATTAAGCTGCAAAGACAGCAAAACCAGAGAAAAGCATTTTATTTTGCCTTATCAATCATGATTTACCTCCTCACTTTAGTGATATGCAGACTAAATTTAGTTGTGTTGAAGTAAGTGTTGCATGAAAGTAATTTCACTTAATCCATGACCACTTAATTTATTTTAGTGGTAGCAACAGTCAGAAGGAAAACAAGAATATGTTGGGGGTGTTTTTTGCTTTTGGATAACACAAAACAAATTATGTTCATTTCAGCCTTGAAACAACCCTTCCAACCTCCCTTCCTCTCTTCCCTGCCAAAACTCGCTGTAAAGTTGCAACCTATAGTTATTTATCATTTGAGCCAATAGCATTCATTTTTTTTCTGTTTGGCTTGGTTTTACTTCATAAGTAAATATTTTGATGTCTCTTTTAGTACATCTCCCTTGAAATCTAATTTGTAGTGCAATATACTACATATTCCAGCAGATCAGGGTAGATGTTAATCTTGCTTTCTTCACTAGAGGATTTTCTTACTTCTGTAATAGAATTAAATCGAGTTTTCTTTCTTTAGTTCCTAATTCTCAGATGCTGAATGAAAAATAGTATTTGTTGATATTTCAGAAGAACTTTGAAAAATAATTAAAAAACAAACACAAATAGCTCAGGAAATGGTATATATTCAAATTTCCCATCCTTATAATTTATAAATAACTAAACATAGCAGCCTGTTGGGATAAAATATCATGACATAAGCAATTTCCAAATTCAGTGAAATAGATCTCAAATTTTTCATATTGCTGTTCTTGTCTAACATGCTTTTTAAGAAGCTTTTGCAAAGTGATCAAAGGTATTTGATCCATTAGTCATCAACCTCCTCCAAAGCAAAAACATTTTATCAACTTTTCTACTTACCCCTAATATTTTCTGAACAGCTGGTGAAGTGTCAGCTATCTATTTTAAGTATTTCTGCCATTTAATCACCTACCCATTTCTAGAAAGGTTTTTCATATATCTACCTATTTATAATCAGTCCCAGAGTTTATTTACTTTGGGCAGTAAAAGAGTTTTAAAAGATTATGGAGATAAAAGCGCAGAAAAGAATCACAGAAGCACAAACTTGAGGTTGGAAGGGACCTTTGGAGATCGTGTAATTGAATGCACCTCACTCAAAGCAGAGTCAACTAGAATAGGTTGCTCAGGACTGTGTCCTGTTGAGTTTTGAGACTGAGGCTCCAGAAGCTCACTGAGAAGCCTGTTCCAGCGTTTGACCACCCTCACAATAACAACAAAAGGTTTTTTTCTTATGTTTAAATGGAATTTATTTGATTTCAATTTGTGCCAAATTTTAGTTTGAATTTTGGGGAAGAATCTGCAAGTGTTTTTGCTGATTAGTGTATTTTATGTAGGAAATAAATGGGAAGTAAATGAGAAGCATTCTGCCACGCAGATGAGAGAAAGTGTCTGGGTAACTCAAAGAAGCAGCTTACTACTTTGAGCTCAAGGCATCAAAGAACAAATCCTGTTCTATGATCTTGAGAAATAGGTAGTTTCAATTAACTATTTTTTATCCAGCATTACAGATAGTGAGATCCACAACAAAAATAGTACACACACCAGCAGACATCCCCTCCTGAAATCCTAACTTTTTTTCTGCAACTGCCAGATGTTTCTGGGGTACCCTGTATTACTGCTAGAAACTAACGTTGTGCAGAATAAATTAAACTTGTGTTCAAGTACGTATGATATTATTTCTTTGCAGAGTTGTTGTGTACCTTAAACAGCCATTGTGATTAAAAAATATTTGAAAAGAATAATTTTTGTGCTGTTGAAAACTTTAAAGTGCTTTTTTTTCTTCAGTATCCATTTTTAGCATCCAGTAGGAATTATGCGTACTTGGGTGAAGTTTGACCTTCCGCTAGCCAAACCCTGCCCAAGAGGCAGGGAATGTGAGCCCCCCAAAAAGAAATCAACTTTCCATGCTCACTGGACCTTTTGAATTACTAGAGTTGAGTTTACGGAGGCTTGCATTGGGAACTAAATCTATTCTCTCATTGTGCTTTGTGACAGGGATTTTTGAAAAGACGTTCCTTCCAAGAAGCTGAAATTCTACATCAGCTATATTCTTCGTCATTCCCAGATTTATACCGCTTCAGCATTCAGTCTCTGCAATACAAGACTGAGATGTTGGAAGCCTTTGTGATTATGCAGAGCATTAATATGCTGCAGGGCCTTATCCCACCTAAGGTAAAGTCGTGTGGATTTTTTTATATTTATTTACTCTAGTGGAGATAATTTTAAGTCATGAGGTTATACAGAGAGGAGATTCTTTGATAACTTGGAATATAAATGAAGATGCAGGTTAGTAAGGAATACCTTCTTTTTCTTTAGAAAATAATAGCTAGGATGTGCCCTCTTTCACATTTGGATTTGATGTTAAGCACAGGCATGTAGTATGCATCAGACCGCAGTTTGCCTTCAGGTTTTTTTGGGTGGATTGTTACCAGATTATAAAGTAGAACTTAAAAAGATCAAATGCCGTAATGGGTGATTAAAAGTGATATTTTCTGTATTTTGTGGCCTGCTTGATATTGATTCAGTCTGTACATTGACAAAGATGTCAGTAAATTTAAGTATGACTGAAGGCTTTTAACCTGATGTTACTAATGACTATCAAGTAGATTTTTTTAGGCTGTTGAAAATAAAACCTTAACTCGATCCTTCAGGAGCAAGGATGGGAACTGACTCCAAAATACTTGGAAAGGCTGTACATCTTCTCTCTTATGTGGAGTGTAGGAGCGTTATTAGAACTGGAAGACAGATGCAAAATGGAGCACTGGCTTCGAAACCATGCAACAATAAAACTTGATCTTCCCTGTATCCCAGAAGGCAGTGAAGATACCATGTTTGATTATTATGTGGCATCTGACGGTTAGTAACTGAGCTGGGTGGTATGGGGTAAAACTTAAAAGTAATTTTAAAATTGCGCTTCTTTTAGAGAATTGATTCAGATTTTTTTTGGTAGCTTACCTTCTTTTGTGTTCCTTAGCAAGTTTTGTATTACAGCTACACTTTACTGGTGATGATGTATAAAGCTTTTACCCTGTTTCCTGTGAGGAATCAGAATGTGGATATATTGCTACAGGAAGCTGCATTGACTTTGTTCCGATGAATTGTCAAGTGAACAAAAATAGGCAAGCCTTGTCCTTGTCATAATTTATGTAGCAAAGAGGAGTAAGCCTCTTAGATCCAACTTGAGAGATTCTATGATTATATGATTCTATAATTTTGGTCTGAGTTTACAGAGTGGGATTACTTTATGTGAGACAGAGGCACCAACAGGTGACACAACTCAATGGAAAATAAAAGAAGCAATGATGCCTTGTATTTCTAAAACCTTAACTTCATTTCTTTCTTATTAGGTAAATGGATGCACTGGAATACACGTGTTGAAGAGTATGTCTATCCCAGTAACAGCACTCCAGAGTATGGCTCCATTCTTGTGCCTAATGTTGACAATGTGAGAATGGATTTCCTTATTGAAACCATCGCGAAACAGGGCAAGGTACTTATTCTATATTTTACGTCTCAGTGGTGCTAACAGTACACATGATAAAGTTTTTGAATTAGAAGTGAAATATTATGTTATTGAAAAGGTCGAACTTCATTTTTTTAATATAAAATGGTCATTCCAGGAGCTACGTTCATGTAAATATGCTTGAACTCTTGAATACTCACTGCTTCCAGACTTTTTTTGTCTTCCCCTCGCTGATCGTTTCTGTAGTGGAAATAACCATAGTTACAGCTGAAGATCAGGTCAGAACAGAAGCAATTTTTTCATGTAGCTGTTGGAGAGGGGGCAACACACAGGGCAGCAGAGTGCCAGACTCTGCTCATATGAACTCTGCCCACATGGGACAGTTATAGAATTTATGTACCTTTAAGTTATGCAACCTATTGTTCACCAAAACTGTGTCAGATAAGCAGGATATGGTAAATTACAACAGCAATTGAAGCCTTTCAGATACTGAAGCTCTAGACAGTACATCCTTTTTCAGATAATCAACTCATTTTACGAATGATCCATTCCTTTTAGTTAAATCGTGCTGATGTGACCATTAACGGCAAATATTTTTAACTTGTGAGGCCTGAAAAAGTCTGAGACATTAACTATTTTACTTGCCCATGTCCTTTGTTGAGAGTTCACTTTACATAACTTTTCTAGTTTCATTTCAGTTTAAAAGCTAAATGGGATTGCTGAGGCTTTGCCAATACACCCAGCTCTTGTTTCATCTTATTTCAATGTTGTCTTTGTCTAGGCTGTCCTACTAATTGGTGAGCAAGGAACTGCAAAGACTGTTATCATCAAAGGTTTTATGTCAAAATATAACCCTGAAAGCCACATGGCTAAGAGTTTGAATTTTTCATCTGCAACTACCCCATTAATTTTCCAGGTATAGTAGTCATTCACTTTCTAATACAACGTGAATGGATTCAGAGATTGTTGTGCAAATTTGCCAGAGGGATGCTTCTGAAAGTGGTTTATTTAATTGAAAATGAGTGTAGAAACAAACAAGCACCTGCTCAGATGGACTAAGTGTCCTAACACATGATTTAAGACTTCTGTAAAAACCATGTTCCCTTCAATTTCTTTGGTAGTTATTGAGCTGTTCTTGGACTATTACAATACCATGCATATGATTTGCTTCATCACATTCAGCATTTTTATGTCAAATGTATCAGTTCTCACTAATTGGGTAGAGCTGTCAGTGACTTCCCTCAGATTTCACTAAAAGCCGTGTGTAAAATAAGTGCTACCCAAAACAATCTGTCATAAAAAGTGTGCTGTCTGCAATTTAAATTTCAGTAAATTAAATTACTCATTAAAAAAGTAACACATGCGGTGCAGCTGCTCTAAATAGAACTATGAGTACTTAAATCCTGAGCTATACTGCCTGTCCAAATTTCTGCTGAGCTACTTTGAATTATTTAAAGTTTCTTTAACCTGCTGGCAATATATATATGGGAAATATTTTTAATGTGGTTTGGTATGCCAAGCCAAAGCACTGTCTGTGCTGTAATCAGAAGTGCTGTCTATAAGCCTGCTGCATCACCTCTCATCTGGCTCTATAGCTTAGTAGAAACTATTAACATGTTTAATATACAAGTATGTAATTTTGGTCTTATTTTCCTTAGTATTTTTCCTTCTATTGATTGGCCTATAGAAACACAAAGTAGTGTTGGTACATCTATTTTTATAAAACAGATGTCAAATTTATTGATGATAGATGATAGTCTGTTGATGATCAACAGACATCTGAAATAGATGTACAAGTCTAACAGTCAAGTCTGATAACAATCTAGACCAAACCATTGTCTGTTACAACACATGTGCTTTTAAATTACTCCGACTTTCTAAAATCTTGGTCTAAGTGATGCCACTTGTATAAGAAGGCTTTTCAGGCTACTGTACAGGAGCACAATGTAAGAATGCAGATATTTAGATTTACATTGAAGAATAACTAAGCATGGTTAAGTGAGCTTTCACTAGGTGTAGAATAAATAAAAATGGACCTTAAGAAGAACAGAGCAATGGAAAAAAGATGGGAAGAAAAGTAAGTCTACTATTAAGCAAAGTTATTTCATCAAGTCTATTTATGTATGTGAATTTAATTATCACTGTATGCTTTTATCAAGTACATTGATGTCTACTGGAAAGGTCTTCAAGAATCACGCCTTTCAGATCTGACAGATTGTTAGTTTAATCTTTATTGCTAGTAACCATCAATTCTGCTGATAAATGAAAAAAATGAAAGAGAAGTTTGAAATAGTTTCAAAATTATGAAACTGTCATGCATGGTTGTCTACACTAGACGTTTGTTATATCTGATACCAACCTAATGCTGTATAGCATGAGATTTCAGACATTCTAGTTGAACTAGTGCAATTACCTCCAGCAAATGTGTTGTCTAAACCTTCCTTAGTAAAATTCTGTGTAACAAAACCATCAATATGTTCAAATGATTGAATCATGTGTGAAAGGAAGGGCTCTTTGTAACTGTGCTAATAATTGTTTTTTCAGCGTACAATAGAAAGTTACGTGGACAAGCGCATGGGCACAACTTATGGTCCGCCTGCGGGCAAAAAGATGACAGTCTTCATTGATGATGTGAATATGCCCATAATAAATGAGTGGGGAGATCAGGTTAGTTTCTAAAAGAGGAAAAAAGAAGGCAAAACATATTTTCTTTCTTTCTTTCCTTGCTACACTGTAAAACTGGCTTCTCTACTCAATCAGGCAGTAGGGGGTAAATTTGATATGTAATGCTTAATTTCTAAACAGTCTTCTTAAAGAACCCATCTGGTTTTATATTGTCATGAATTCACTGAAAATGAATATACTGACTACAAGAATCAGTTCAAATACTCCTTAAAGCATGCCTGTATAGTTTTAACAATGTTTTTTACCAACACTCATTTTTTAATTAAAAAAAAAAAAATTGAAAAAAAATTAGTTAGAAAAAAAAAAACTTTGCCACAGAAATTGTGCTGGCAAACTGGCTGTGTGGACAATAACTAAAATACTGTGAATGCTGAGAGGTAAGAAGCGATTTGTCTGCTTTAGAAAAAAATGGAAGTAATCATTATGTACATTGGCAAGAGAGTTCTGAAGTATATTGCTTTGGAAACTAATGTTAGAATTTCTAGAGAAGTATAGTTGTATAATGTACTGTCTCTGGGAGATTTTCAACTGGTCAAACAAAAAAGCAGGGCGTTCATTTATGGCTAAGGAAAGGAATCTTGCATTCTTTTGTATGGAAGTAATTCTGTATTTGTAGCTTGAAAAAATGTGATTGTTACACACAGAAATTTCATCAAAATACTTTGTAGCAGATGCAACGTGAAGATGCATCAGTTTAGGCTTGATTAGAACAAAGTGGGAATTTTGTGTTAAAAGGGGAAAAGTATTTCCAATACAACAGTATTGGAAATCATGCAGCATTCAAGGGAGAATGAACTGAGGTATGAAGGATTAATTCTAAACTAGGGATTCCCTTCTACTCCCAGGATTTTTGTCAATAGATATTACCAATGAAAAGGACAATCTAAATATGCTTATTCCTAGCAGTGCATTTTTCTCCTGAAGCAAATAAGCCGGGGTTTTGGGGGAGAAAATAATGCTATACTCTTTATTAGGTATTTCAAGTACATAAGTATGTTTTGTATTTCATTTAGTTGTGTGTATAATATCCTGTTATATAATACCTGGTTATTTTACAGGTCACTAATGAGATAGTTAGGCAGCTGATGGAACAGAATGGACTGTATAACCTGGAAAAGCCTGGTGAATTTACCAACATTGTGGACATTCAGTTTTTGGCTGCCATGATCCACCCTGGGGGAGGTCGCAATGACATTCCACAGAGGCTCAAGAGACAATTTTCTGTGTTCAACTGTACTCTGCCTTCTAATTCTTCCATTGACAAAATTTTTGGTAAAGGGAAATAAGCTTTGTATCCATCCCATTTTTGAAAATGGTAGTTGATTTTTCTTTATCCCTCTATTTATAAACTTTAGGATTAAAATTGAGGCTTAATCCCCCTCTGATTTGCTTACCAGCACGCTTTCCTTCAGTAATCACTCCCCACCTGCAACTTCATCAATCTAAGTTTTTCCGATCCAGTTACATCTCTGAATCTATTGACATGTTAAGTGTTAAGAGGAATGGCATGAAGGCTATTCCTACTTTTCATGGCAATGCTGGAGAGTTGCTAAGGTGCTACTGGTGCTAAGAATGAGTGGCTAATGACTAGACTTTCACAAACGACAGGATCATATTGGTTTCAGAGAAGAGATTAGCTTTTCAAAGGCTGTGGAAGCTATTTTGGTAGGCAAAAGAACATTTTTAACGGACAGTTAATTAAGAGCTAAATACCCAGTGAGCTGGTGGCAGAATGGTGTTAATACCAAGTGAATCAAGATTTGAATAAAGATTGGAAATCCATTTCAACAAATTAGAAAAGGTTTTAGGTGTTAAAAAAAGAAAAAGAAACTTAAGAAGATTGTAGCTCTTGGTGTTGCACTAGTGTGTCTTAGAAAAATCTTTAATTTGGCAATTTTTTTTTTTTTCCACAGGTGTAATTGGAGAAGGGCACTATTGTAGTGAGCGGGGATTTTCAGAAGATGTGAAGAAAACAGTAGCCAAATTGGTTCCACTGACACGCAGGCTATGGCAGATTACCAAGTTAAAAATGTTGCCCACACCAGCCAAGTTCCATTATGTCTTCAACCTTCGAGACCTCTCAAGGATTTGGCAAGGAATGCTGAACACTACATCAGAAGTGATCAATGAACCAAAGGTAAGTGCAGCACATCAGTGGCTTTGTTATAATTAGTGTATAATTAGTGTAGCAAAGAGGATGAAGAGTCTAAGTTCTTGGCATTTGAGTTTGCTTTAGAAAAATATAATTTCTAATTAAAAAAGTTTTTCAGTGTTTTTTTGAGGCAAAGATGTTTTAGTCTAGCTTTTACAGTGCCAACTGAAATGATAACTGTTTCATAACTATAACAAAAAATGCTTCTTTTGACAGAAGACGGTTTGCTTCTATCTGCTTGTTCTATTACTGACAAATGCTAGTTTGAAAGAAGTGAGCAAAGAAAATTATGAGAAGCAATAAACTTATTTTAATCCAATGAAAATGCATATATATTGATTAAAAAAATAAACAGTTGCCCTGTCTCCACTAGTGTCTTGAGGCTTGCAGTCACTGCCTAATATCTGTATAACAAATGAATTCTGGCTTAAGGCTTAAAAGGAAGAAGTAGTAACGACTTGTAGTGATGCTTTTTTTTTTTCCATAATCCACTTTTCTTCTGGAAATACTTTATACATCATTTCTCTTTTAATTATTTTAAGGAAAAGTCATTTAGTGTTTTGAGCACTGAAACATGAAATGCTGGAAAAGCAATGTTTATGGTAATCATGGAAAATCTGTAATACATTTGGATTATATAATCACCTCATGTTTAATGTACTTCCGTACTTGTTGAATAAGCTCCTGAATTCTATTACATCTAAAACCTAAATTTTAGAATTGATTTTAATTTCTGAAGCTAAAAATATACAGCACTAAAATGATTATATGTACATATATTCTCAATTAATGTCTTTTGAAGTATAACAAACAATTGCTCAAAATCTGATTGTATAAATTTACATATTAGTTCTATGACTTGACATAGTATGTGTCATTTGTACTAAGTGCTGTAGGCTCAAACAAGAGGTCTTCAAGGGGTACTTGGAATTTTTTCTACTACTGTGTAGTAATAGTGTAGGATCAAAACCAGTGCTGCTAAGATTAAGAACATGTCAGGTTTTCCTTCTCCATCCTATGACCAAACTGAAGGACTTTAAAGGTATATTGAATTTGGAGAAGGAATAATATAAACACTTACAATTTTTTTTTTTTCTCTAAGTACTTTGGATTTGGTATTGGGAGTGACATCTGTGTTTGGCATGAAATTATTTATGCCATGATGCTTTCATTTCTACCCACCTTCTACTTAATGACCAGTTAAAAAAGTGGTTTATCAGTGCATAAACATATGTTAACAGGTATAGATATGGTTTTAGGGCTAGGGAAATAAAATCTTAATTTGGTAAATACGCTCCGGTTTGGAATGCTAGATTAAGGCTTCTTGCACAGTTAACTGAATGTAAGTTTTAAATGCTATTGGGCAGAATATGAAGCTCAAGGTATCTCTCCTGAATAAACCCCAAAATACTACTGTTTCTTTTCTAGTGTTAATAAGATTTTAAAATAAATTTATAAATAAAAGCACGGCTTTTAAATTGGCATAACTTTGTTGTAAACCTAATCTGACTGAAATGCCTTTTTTTTTTTTTTTTTATAGGTACTGATAAAACTGTGGAAGCATGAATGTAAGTGCGTTATCGCTGATCGTTTCACAGCCTCAGAAGATGTAAACTGGTTTGATGCAGCTGTGGCAAAACTCATTGAGGAGGAATTTGAAGAAACAAAAGCTTTCCTGGATCCTGAAATTGATGCATTCTTTGTTGACTTCTTAAGGGATGCACCTGAAAGAACTGGTAAAGATGGACTCTGATAACCATGGAGATGGCAAGAATAGGGAAGGGGATATGATGAAATAGATGCTAATAGAAATATGTCTTAAAAATGCATAGCAAGTTTAGGCATCAAGGGTGGCTGTTCTGTCCAGTGACTTTGAAGGTAGTCTGTGTTACCAACCGTGGCACATCCTTATATTCACGGGATTTTTAAGTCCGTGTTTATATCCAGGTTATCTGTATAGAGGAGCCTTGTTTCCATTTCCATCAATGTGGTAGATAGACAAAACTGCCAAATAGTGAGCATGAGTCTATATTATTCTAAAATGATGAAAGAAGTGTGGTATGAGTGACTTGAAGTGGTGGGGTTGCAGTACTAGATAAAGGATAGCACTCTAGCTACCATCCCCTAGAAACCTGGTAAAAGAGTACCAACTCTAGCCTAATTCAGTACTTCTTAGGAAATACCCAGTACATGATTTTGTAACAAATGAGTGTTATTTAAAAATCTCCTGAATGCTAGTAAAACCTCTTGAATTATCCATATGGCTTACAACAACATCTTTGTGTCTTTTCAATAAAAACACTGTGTCACTGACCTTGCTAAATGACCTGGGAATATTTGTTAGTTGATGCAAAAGAACAGAAAACAGTTGTTTGGGTTTTGGGGAAGGTCATTATTTAAGCCATTGGGTGATTCAATTATCTGTGCTCATATCACTGTAATGATGGATAGTGGAGGCAATAAAAGGTTGGCATGAGTGGTCAAATGTCATTTAAATCTCTTCCTGGATAACTGAAGTAGTCGGAAGGCAGTGACAAAAGGAGAGTAAAGGATAGGAAATGTTTGACTGAAAGGAATCAGAAGTAAAAAGCAAACTGGGGTGAGAAAGTAGTCAAATACATCCTTAAATAACTTGCTAAACTGCAGCAATGTAGAGAGGACTGAAATGTAAGTCAGAATACATACTGAGAGAATGAAGAGTGACTTTTAATGAGAAAATTTGAATCCACACTAGAAACCATTATGTTGAACTGAAAAATAAATGCGAAAAGAAGCATGTATTTCTCAAAATAACTTGCTTCCTGGTGACAATTTAAATGTACCTGCCCGGTAAAGTGCCTTTTAGCATGAAACTTCATCTAAATACAAAGTAGGAGGCCCCCATTTAGAAAGGGTATGTTTTGTCCTCAATATGCTTGTCAGAGCCTTGAGAACCCCTTTCTGTTCTGAAAGGACTGTTGTGGTTTAACCCCAGCCAGCAGCTAAGCACCACACAGCCGCTCGCTCACTCCCCCTACCCTGATGGGATGGGGATAGAATCAGAGAAGGAAGAGTGAGAAAAACTCCTGGGTTGAGATAAGAACAGT